CACCAACTATAGGCGAAGAGTCACTGAATCATACAATAGTCCCGTCTCGGTTTTATTTTTAAATTTTTTTTAAGAGTACCTATAACCTATAAATATATAGAAAATGTATATATGACTAACTGGTTTTATTAACCTTTTTTGGGGTAGGTAATTATATTTTGAATAATGTACAAACTTCTTTTAAATAAAAGACAAAATATTTCTGTTTTTATTAACTGAACAAATAATAATTTATACAAACATTATATACCTATTTAAAAAAGAATATTATATTTTACAAGTATCGCATATTTATATGAAATAACTTACTCAATAAGCCAGAATTAAATGCAACAAATTGATAAACAATAGATGTGAAAAATTGTTTAATATTTAGAGAAACTTATTTTAATTACATATTGCCTTAATCAATTTATTCACTATAAAAGTATATTTCTTATCAGTTATTACATGTAATAAAATAAAGTATAAAACATTCAAACCTACTTAGAACCGAACTAATATTTAAAAGAAAAACCTGACCAGAAGATGTAGAAGAAATTGTCGCAACGTTTTTTAAAAATTTCTAAACTAATACATTCAAATCGTTCTATAAATGAATAAATAAAATCTCACCAAGAAAGGTTAAAAAATTAAGTACCTATTTTGATATATCATATGTTGTGTTTACACTCATGTTGTTTAATAACAATTCATAAATGGGGTGGTAATATTAATAATAATTTTGTTGCCAACAATTTTCCTTTCATAAATTAAATTAATAATTAAATATGTGACATGAGGGTGGGTGGCTCAGTGGTAGAGTATCTGCCTGGGATCCCAAGGGTCCCAGGTTCGAATCCCACCGTTGACCGGGATTTTTTTTAATTAATTTAATTATTTAAAATTAATTCTGATGCCTTGATAGGATTCCCCACTTGACCATTCACTGTTGGGTTCTAATTAACAGTTCCTAAAGTGGCGCTGGGAAACAGTAACAAAGCCTACACAGAACACGAGGCGAAATAACTATAGCTGTTGAAGCCGATGACACACAAAAAAATTATGTGACATTCATAACATTCATTCACCTGAGAGATAAAAAACCCATTTTGTTTAATAACATTAGATGATATATGTATTGTTATTTAAACCTCTTTCACGGTAAATTGGATCTATCTTAAAAAATATATTATATATATTTCATAACTCTCCTTTTTAATATCCTAAAAATACCATTAAAGTGTTCCAAATAATATTCCATTATGACATCTGGAACAAACAAGTTAATTGAAGCGAAATTTGATAGGTATAGGTACTACATTTGTAAAGCTTTTACAATTTGTTATGATACAGAGCTTAATTTTTCGTGTTAGGCATATGACTAGTATAAATCTTAATAAAATGGCAACAGGGCAACACCCAGTCGTCGTCGACTAGAATTAGAAGATATGGTGGTGGGATATTAGCCGAACCGAATGTGAGGCACAAAGCCAGAGAGCGTTAGCGGGGATATCATAGTTGCCACATGTTCGCTGTAAAAGTACGGCTATGCCTAATACAAAATAATAAGTACTGTATAAAGCCATACATTTTTTAAAAGTTCTAATACTGTATGTCCATATGATTAAAAAAAGTTAGGTTTGAATTAAATATAATTCATATATTGTCGTCACTTATGAATATTATATATCTAGTTAACAATTTTGAATGAACTTAAAGAACTACTTATAAAACTTAACATTTTTTAAAAATGAAATAATGTTATCGATACCGTTCAAATTTGAATTTCGTTACAATCTTCCACATTTTGAACACGAGTATCTTTGGAGACATCATCAGTAATTGAAAATATGGTTTGTAATTAAAAATAATAATACCACTAGAAAAACAAACTAAACAATTATGAGACCATATCCAAAGTCTTAGAAGTCTTTATATATAGATATAGCATCTACTTGCTCTTGGTTATCCAAAACATGAACAGAAATATATTCAATTAAGCATAAGTTAATAACCATTCAATGATTATTAATAAATCTTTGATGATATTGTGAAATATTATCCAGGAGATAGATAAATAAATGCAATTGCAAAGAAAAATAATAAAAAGTACACAATACTGATATTGGTCTATAAATTTCCGTTTGATTTAGTCATACTTTTAAATATTATATTGTACATACTTTTGTTTCTTTACACAATTCACTATATTTTTTTAATGCGAAAAAATATTAAAAATTTATTTCATAAACTATTTCATCTAATATATATCTAAAGGTCTAGTTTAACAATAGACATTCAAAGTCTTAAATTAATGTCACCAGTGTTTAATTTTTATAAGCTATATAAATCTAAGGAGTCCGTTACAATGAATAAAGGATGTGATATAACAGAAAAGTCCTATTGTAAAATTACCTGGTTATAACTAAATTACAATGGCATAAATTAAGAAAGTTGTACATAAATAATTTAAATAAACACAAGTAAGCTATTCGCTCCGTGCGAAGTCATGGAAAGGGAAGCAAAAGCGATACTAGCGCTAGCTGCGGATAATTCGTGCATTTTAGGGCGATATTTTGTAATTTTGGCATATCAAATACACGTATACATTTTACTTTTTTTCAAAAAAAGTAGGTAAAAACAATATAATAAGCAACCGGAGTTGCTGTGTTGAAAATTGTACAAATACTAGCAAAAAAAAACAGTGAAACTTATATAAAAAATTTCAGTAGCAAAGTGGAAATTAAATCAAAGAAATAAATGGATATACAATAAGAAGAAAAATTACCTTTATTTTTGTAATAATAACCGTAATGCTGCAAATAGTAGACATCAGAAACTTGAAAGTTTTAAATAAACAATAAATTATCATTTTACCATGTTCTTTAATATCCCTTATTCTTAAATGTTCATTCAGCAAGGACTACATTTCAAGATTTCTGCCTTTGATTATTATATGTGGTTGGAACGCAATTTTGTAACTTACTGATGGGAAATCAGTTTTAATAATTCATTCTATGTTTTCTTTCGAACAAAAATGAAAATATAAGTAATGATCCTTTTTTTATACATTTTAACTTCACGCTATTATTAAATGGTATTTTTTTATTTTGACAAAATAGACTAATTCTTCAATGAAAACTTATTAGACTTAGGCAACTTCTCATACATTTTCCAGTAAATACTGTTGCCTGCCTATATTATATTATTGATTTTTATCGAATATACATAATTTTCTTTAATTTAAGCGATAAAACTATATTATAATAATAATAAATTAATGTTTTACTTGTTTTACAAATCCATATACTTTTATTAAAACTAACATATATATTTTTTAATTACGAATTCTATTAAAAGATGCATTTGTCAGTATACGCAGAAATAGTCCATTTGTATCAAAACATATTGGCGCTGCTGTCGCGCACGGAGCGAATAAAGGGTTGTAAACTATTGGTTTTTATCAGTATGGTGCAGCCAAGTTCAAACGATCGTGGAACTTGTTTTGGAAAAATTGTACAGTGGCAGAGGTCACTAACAAGGAGCCAATAACATATTTGCGGTTTCAGCTAATATACTCCTAATTTTCTGGGTTTATACTAACGTTACAAAATGATCCGATGGTCTCCCTATAGCTATCAGCCATTCTTTCCTAAAAATTTTTGGTATGCTACAACAAAACATACAAATTATTTGATTTTGTAAATACACAAATATTTGTGAAAACTTACACATGAAATGTTATTCCTTCCTTGTATCTTCTACCGTAAGATGCATTGTTACATCCAGGTACAAAACAACAAGACATTTTGGAAATCCTGTAAAAATTTAACACCAAACTACAAACGTTTTTTAATAAAATAATACACTAAACCACTAAACGACTAAACTTTTTTTTTAAATAAAACATTTACTAGAAGATTTTTAAATTTTTAAATCAGCAAACATTTATTCATATTTTTTAATCATTTTTATCTTCTAATCGTGGATAAATGTTTTGCTGCGATGTTAAGAGGAAGAAAATCTTTCCTTTTAATGATATATATCAAAATAGGTATATTTGAAAACTCTGAGGGCAAACAAAATTAGCGCTGTCATGCCTTATGTGATTTTTTTAATACAAACTATTTTTTTAATCACTTTACTCAGGATTGGGATTGGCACAGGTGCCATTTGGTAAAGTACAATGTTTTTACATGCTTTTGGGGTATATTTCATTTCGTTATCAGATGACGGTGAAAATTTGCAATGGGCTCTTGGGCTATTATGATTTGATTCTGTATGCGCCAGGGATACAAATCTGAGTTGCGCAATGTATAAACTGGAACATTGAGATTAAAAGTGCCGACGCAGAGTGAGCGAACTGATTCTTTAGCTATAAACTGTGGCCATACATTACCATACCGATTTGCGGAAGTAAACAAACACTTTATTTCACTGTAAAATCAAATGTTTTATCTGGCCCTAATATTTATCAGTATAGCCATGGCTATCTGACAGAAATAGTGTGTAACTGATTTGTTTTGTAGTCGCTGTTATTTTTCTGTTTGTTTACTTTGTTATTCTAAAATGTGATGTTATATAATATCTCATTTTTTATTAATTATAATTATTTACGGTTGGCGATAAAAGTTTGTATGGACCACGTCAGCCAAATATCTTTATCGAACACGCCTGTTACTCGCCTCGCTCGCTTCTCTCATAAATAACTATTTCCGATATGCCCACAATATTTCAGAACAACTAAAAATTTATATGTCAGATTGGTTTGTTTTTATTAAAAGTTAACTGTCAGTGGAAAATAAATTACGTTACGTTAAGCATAGGATAAGGATAATTAAAATATTTGGATCATATTAAATAAAAACGTATTTTTTTTGTTATCATAGACTTCCATTAGTAGTGTTAAATACATTATTTTCATCTAAAATTTAGAAGAGTTGGTGTTTATTTTAATATTGTTACACTCCGATTGTTACTCTTTACATAATATTCTAAATTCTTCTTATATTTTTTAGAATCCTATGAAAAACTCAAAATGGATATAATTTCAAAATTCTATTTAACGCTAATAAGAATATTGGATGATAATGGATTGAACGAACTTTGTGAAGTCATATACTTTGAAGGTAAATTGGTGTATTTACTATATAATAATACTCACCCCTTTACGATTGAATTTTAATCCCACAAGCTAAGCTTGTCCGGGGAAGGGACGGCTATTATTATTTGCCGTGTCGTTCCGGGGCGAGTTAAAGGTGCTTAATGGTGACATTCGACTTACAGGTGAGGAAAACCCTACCCATCATCATCGAAACGGTAGCGCTTGGCGATTTATAATCAGGATGTCATATCAACAGAAATTATATTTCTAATACGGCATCCATCAAATCCTATAACGAACCATGCAAATTAATTAAAAATTTACATGGTCTGACGTAGGATTCGAAGCCGCGTGTCTTTCAACCACAAAATTGCTTTTTGTAAATGAATGCAAGCGCCTAAGACCGCTACGCCACCGAGACGATTCCACCATTTTTTTAAACGGAGTTTAAATTAATAATCTCAGATTTAAATAAATTGTTGTTTCCATCAACATGTAAACTATGTTTAGTTGATCTAAATAACAGTGTGTGTGTGTGTGTGTGTGTGTGTGTGTGTGTGTGTGGTGTGTGTGTGTGTGTGTGTGTGTGTGTGTGTGTGTGTGTGTGTGTGTGTGTGTGTGTGTGTTGTGTGTGTGTGTGTGTGTGTGTGTGTGTGTGTGTGTGTGTGTGTGTGTGTGTGTGTGTGTGTGTGTGTGTGTGTGTGTGTGTGTGTGTGTGTGTGTGTGTGTGTGTGTGTGTGTGTGTGTGTGTGTGTGTGTGTGTGTGTGTGTGTGTGTGTGTGTGTGTGTGTGTGTGTGTGTGTGTGTGTGTGTGTGTGTGTGTGTGTGTGTGTGTGTGTTGTGTGTGTGTGTGTGTGTGTGTGTGTGTGTGTGTGTGTGTGTGTGTGTGTGTGTGTGTGTGTGTGTGTGTGTGTGTGTGTGTGTGGTGTGTGTGTGTGTGTGTGTGTGTGTGTGTGTGTGTGTGTGTGTGTGTGTGTGTGTGTGTGTGTGTGTGTGTGTGTGTGTGTGTGTGTGTGTGTGTGTGTGTGTGTGTGTGTGGTGTGTGTGTGTGTGTGTGTGTGTGTGTGTGTGTGTGTGTGTGTGTGTGTGTGTGTGTGTGTGTGTGTGTGTGTGTGTGTGTGTGTGTGTGTGTGTGTGTGTGTGTGTGTGTGTGTGTGTGTGTGTGTGTGTGTGTGTGTGTGTGTGTGTGTGTGTGTGTGTGTGTGTGTGTGTGTGTGTGTGTGTGTGTGTGTGTGTGTGTGTGTGTGTGTGTGTGTGTGTGTGTGTGTGTGTGTGTGTGTGTGTGTGTGTGTGTGTGTGTGTGTGTGTGTGTGTGTGTGTGTGTGTGTGTGTGTGTGTGTGTGTGTGTGTGTGTGTGTGTGTGTGTGTGTGTGTGTGTGTGTGTGTGTGTGTGTGTGTGTGTGTGTGTGTGTGTGTGTGTGTGTGTGTGTGTGTGTGTGTGTGTGTGTGTGTGTGTGTGTGTGTGTGTGTGTGTGTGTGTGTGTGTTGTGTGTGTGTGTGTGTGTGTGTGTGTGTGTGTGTGTGTGTTGTGTGTGTATGTGTGGTGTATGTGTGTGTGTGTAGTGTGTGTATGTGTGTGTATGTGTGTGTATGTGTGTGTATGTGTGTGTATGTGTGTGTATGTGTGTGTATGTGTGTGTATGTGTGTGTATGTGTGTGTATGTGTGTGTATGTGTGTGTATGTGTGTGTATGTGTGTGTATGTGTGTGTATGTGTGTGTATGTGTGTGTATGTGTGTGTATGTGTGTGTATGTGTTGTGTATGTGTGTGTATGTGTGTGTATGTGTGTGTATGTGTGTGTATGTGTGTGTATGTGTGTGTATGTGTGTGTATGTGTGTGTATGGTGTGTGTATGTGTGTGGTATGTGTGTGTATGTGTGTGTATGTGTGTGTATGTGTGTGTATGTGTGTGTATGTGTGTGTATGTGTGTGTATGTGTGTGTATGTGTGTGTATGTGTGTGTATGTGTGTGTATGTGTGTGTATGTGTGTGTATGTGTGTGTATGTGTGTGTATGTGTGTGTATGTGTGTGTATGTGTGTGTATGTGTGTGTATGTGTGTGTATGTGTGTGTATGTGTGTGTATGTGTGTGTATGTGTGTGTATGTGTGTGTATGTGTGTGTATGTGTGTGTATGTGTGTGTATGTGTGTGTATGTGTGTGTATGTGTTGTGTATGTGTGTGTATGTGTGTGTATGTGTGTGTATGTGTGTGTATGTGTGTGTATGTGTGTGTATGTGTGTGTATGTGTGTGTATGTGTGTGTATGTGTGTGTATGTGTGTGTATGTGTGTGTATGTGTGTGTATGTGTGTGTATGTGTGTGTATGTGTGTGTATGTGTGTGTATGTGTGTGTATGTGTGTGTATGTGTGTGTATGTGTGTGTATGTGTGTGTATGTGTGTGTATGTGTGTGTATGTGTGTGTATGTGTGTGTATGTGTGTGTATGTGTGTGTATGTGTGTGTATGTGTGTGTATGTGTGTGTATGTGTGTGTATGTGTGTGTATGTGTGTGTATGTGTGTGTA